AACATGCATTTAGCTGACAGAGAGACACATTTAGAGCAGGAATCATACCCAGAGTGTAAAAAAATATATAAACATTTTGCATATAATATATATAAAAAAAAAAAACTATTTTCTCCTGTTCATCTGCTCTATTTAAAACTCCTCAGGCAGAAACGTTTTAGTATAACCTGGTTTGATTTCGTGAAAAGTCTTCTTTAAGGAACTTTTCGCTATCTGATTATTAATCAATCGAAAAAGTAATTGACAGATTAATCGATTCGCTAAATAATCTTTTTATCATTATTGAGTTTTTTTTTCCTTTGGGTTTTTTTTTATCCTTTTAAAAGAAAAACTGCCTGTTTATGGGAATGGACAATAATATATATGAATAAGAAAGAAGTGATGAAAGGAGTTGATTGGGATTTTTTTATTGTCTCTTGAGGCTATGTCACTTAGACATTCCGTAAAAATTCAAAAAATATCCACTGGACTTGGTTTTCAAGATTTGAAGACGTTTCGCCACCTCTCCAGGAAGCTTCAACGTCTTCAAATCTTGAAAACCAAGTCCAGTGGATATTTTTTGAATTTTTACGGAATGACTATGACCTGGATGACTGAGAACCTTCATCAGCATATGTCACTTAGAATAAAATGTTACCAAAATGATTGTTGTCATCTAGTTGATGTATTGAGCTGTAGTGAACTTAGATTGGCTGACTGTGATTAGATTATTTGAGAAATGGTTTCCACAGATGGATAAAAAAATCTCGAAATGCACTCAATAAAAAGTGAGCTGGGGAAAAAAAGGAATTCTGGAGGGCTTGTTGATCAGGACCACCATGAAACGCTGCAGCACAGTCTGGCTCCCTAGAACAAGCTTCCTGCCTGAAAGGCTCATTTAAATCTGAAAAACATAAAGTGATGCATTGCTGTGTTTGTGTAGAACGCCCTGATTAGAGAACTGGAGCACACCAAGAAGCTGATCGAGGAATCGCACCATGAGAAGGTGAGGAAATGCTTGGTTTACAACAAACATCTGTTAGCATCCAGGCTGCTAATCCCTGCGAGTGTTTCCTCCTACAGGAGCAGCTCCTGATCCAAATTGAGACAATGAGGGCAGAGAATGAGCAGGGCAGGAGCAGGAGTAACTCCTCACTGCACGGGTAAACGCCTCCGCCACCAGCTGCTTCCATCACTCCCTCCTTCTGTTTACTTCAGCATTGGATTGTTTGTGTTTTCTCCAGGCGTTCCCAGCTGGGCAGCACCCCTGACTTCAGGTACCCCGTCTCTGCGTCCTCCATGATGGACAGCAACTCGGAGCATTATGGTGGCGCTCTGGTTCTGAGGCGACCTCAGAAAGGACGTGTGGCGGCGCTGCGGGACGAGCCGTCCAAGGTGAGAGCTGGGAGTCTGTTCTCTGCTAGTGACTCCCTGCAGCATTTCTGACTCCTCATCTTCCCACTTTCCCTGTGACGCCGATGCTGGAACTCTTTCTGATGGTTTTCCTCTGTTCTGCTTCTTTTTGTGTGCTTCCTCTGTGGACTTCAGCGACATGTAAGTCAGTCTGCTTAGCAACACCGTCAGCGTTTGTGGTCTGGCTTCACTTTCTTTGACTTCTCATCCCCTTCCTGCTCCTCCAAACCGCTCTGCCATCTCAAACATACTGACCTCCTGTTGTCTTTGTCCTGAACGGGAATGCAGGTGCAGACTCTGAATGAGCAGGAGTGGGAGCGCATGCAGCAGGCTAACGTCTTGGCTAATGTGGCCCAGGCCTTTGAGAGCGACATGGACGTCTCGGATTTGGAGGAGGACCGGGAGACCATTTTCAGCTCAGTGGACCTGCTGTCCCCCGCTGGTCAGGCCGACGCTCAGACGCTGGCCTTGATGCTGCAGGAGCAGCTGGACGCCATCAACAACGAGATCAGGTTATTATTCTGGCTGATGATAATAACACCTGTGGATCACTGAGGCCATTTTCAATTATGATTTGTATTCTATCTGGGTTGTTCT